GCTGCCAGGTATTTGGAAGTTGCTGGGGACAGAAAGGTCTGTTTGCAGTCTCCTTAATGGCTCATCTGTTCATATCAGGCCCATCCCTTTCCATCTTTGCTGTTTAATCAGTCACGTCTGCCACAAACTGCTCAGGCTTTCGGATCATCTAGAAACTCAGTAGCATGGCATATGACTTTCTGTTCATTTTCCCCCTAGGAACCCTAGCCTGATACAGAGCATCACATCTGCTCCTGGGTGGCCTGGGTAGTCTATTTAGTCTGCTGCACCTTTCCCCATCCCTGCCATGTCCCTTGTACTTGGCAGGCTGAATTTATCTGCTTGTCAGACTCAGAGCGGTCAGAGCTCTTCCTCTTCATACAGATCACATTCTACTATGGAGCTCAGCAAAACCCCTGAAACAGCATACCACCCGAGGTCCCAAACAAACAAACAAACAAACAAAAAATACCCCCTCAAACAACTACACAGCAGTACTCAGACTGCCCCCAACCCCGTTCCTATGTCCCACAGTCTCACTATTGAGGCTGGGAGGGACACATTTATTTCTTTCAAAAAAATTTCCCAGATGGGCTGGAGAGGTGGCTTAGCATTTATGAGCATTTCTGTTCTTTCTGATGACTCAGGTTCAGTCCCTCACACCCTCCTGCAGCTCTAGTTCCAGGAGATCCAATGCCCTCTTCTGGCCTCTGTGGGCACTAGCTACACATGTGGTGCCCGTACACATATGGAGGCGCGTGCGCGCGCGCGCGCGCACACACACACACACACACACACACACACACACACACTACAACCTTTTTCTTTTTTTAGACAAGGCTTCTCTGTAGCTTTGGAGCCTGTCCTGGAACTAGCCCTTGTAGACCAGGCTGGCCTTGAACTCACAGAGATTTGCCTGCTTCTGCCTCACCAGTACTGGGCTTAAAGACGTGTGCCACCCCTCCCAAAGAATATAATTTTAAAGTCTATCCCAATTTAAGCGGTTCAGGTCCCACGTATTCCCTTGTTATTAAGGCTCTGTTGGCATGCTGACCATAGCCTCCCCCTTCTTAAAGACTGACCCGAGAAACATCTCCATCTCTTTCTTTCCTTTTTCACTTTTATTGATTCTTTGTGGATTTCACATTTTGCATCCCAGTCCCACTAATCTCCCTGCCCCTCCCATTTTCCCTCTGCCCTTGCAATCTTCCCCCTGCCCCTGCAAACTAAACCAAATTTAAAAGGAGAACCAAAAACCAAACTAACAAACCAACCAAATGAACAAATAAAAAAAAAACAACAGAAAAGAAGAATCTTATCGTGGGAGCTGCAGTGTGGCTGTTGAGACTCACAGCTTACCCTTCAGTCCGTTCGTCTTTGCTTGCTATCTTCTCTTTTTGGCCGCTCCTCGTCCTGTGCATGATCTGACTCCTCCCCTGGGCCCCGTGGGTTTGGATCTTAGGAAGGGCCTTTAGCACAGGTCTAACTTCTATTTTCCTTTCCTTGCATCTCTAAGAAACTGCAAGTTAATGCCTCCCTCTCTTCATTCCTATTCTCAACTTCCTTTGTGAAATTGGATGCCCATGCAGCAGACAGCATCCCTCTTCGATTTCTCCCCTTGTTGTAACTCCTCTTGTACACTGGCAAATTCTTCTTGAGAAGATAGCTGAGCCTCAGTTGCATTTATTCTTGACCACACCAAAGGTCACAGAGCTGAAAGACTACAGGCTGCCTCCCATCTCATGCATACTGCTTTCAGAGACTGCAATATATTTTCTTTCTCTCTCTCTCTCTCTCTCTCTCTCTCTCTCTTTCTCCCTCCCTCCCTCCCTCCTTCCCTTCCTTCCTTCGTTCCTTCCTTCCTTTCTTTCCTTCCTCCCTCCCTCCTTCCCTCCCTCTTTCTCTCTTTCTTTCTTTTTCTGAGATAGGGCTTCTCTATGTATGTAGCCTTGGCTACTTGGAACTCAATTTGTAGACCAGATTGGCCTCAAAATCACAGAGATCCATCTGCCACTGCCTCCCGAGTGCTGGGATTAAAGGTGTTTGCCACCATGTCTGGCTTGCAATGTATTCCTTATCTACCATTTTGGAGCATCCTTATACTCATATGGCAGACCTAATGCATCATGACATCATGCCGCCCCTTGTCACATACAGTTAGATGGCTACTCTGGGATTCCCAATCAAGAACACTACACTCCTCAAGGAGATGACTGGCCTGTGGTTGGATATCCTATTCCTCATCACAGGGAACATGCAACCATTATGACAGTAAGGAGGTACACCATCCCCTACCATGTGAAGAAAGGTGGTCACACTGAGGTGGCTTCCATGGATGACCCATTCACAGATCTGCTCCAATTTCACATCTCGTCATCCATCACAGGGACACTCAACTACTCTTCCCAAACTCACCTGTGGTTTTGTGTGTTGTGGCAGTGTAAATAAATGCTTATTTATTACATCAGGGTACCAATCACAGACCAAGGAAGAGATTCCCTGATTCACTAATGTTTAGTTTAGCGAGACAGTGAGATTGTTGAGGTTGCTCATCGGAGTGTGGATGAGCATCACATCAGGAGTAAGGATAACTAGATGCGGCTGCATCTCTGAAAGCTCACCACAGCATGAGTGATGACACCGAACGCTGTATTCCTGGAGCCCGGGATTACACGGTCATTGTTCTGTCCATTTATTTTATTTCAGGAGCGGCTGTCATTCGAGGATGTGTCCATTGACTTCTCCCCAGAGGAGCGGGAATGCCTAGACCCTGCTCGGTGGAATTTGTATAGGGGTGTGATGTTGGAGAATTACAGGAACCTTGTCTCCCTGGGTGAGGATCTCTTCCCTACAGAATTCTCAAATCCCTTCTTTTGTAGAATATCTCTCAGGAACTTACTTACCCTTCTCACAAAGTCATGGATGAGATCCTTTCAGATTGTATGTTTCCTCTTAACATCTCCTTTCTTCATGGAGTATGTTTCTTTACTCTAGATTGCTGGTAATTTTAGCAGTTTGATGGCCTGTAGTTATCCTGAACTGCATCTTAAAGTCCAAATGTTCCCTTTGATTTACTCATATGTGCAAGCACAGCCTTATCTCCAAAGTGAAATTCTCCGTTTGTATTATACTGTGTCTAGTAGGAGACACCTGGGGACATAATTTCCTAGTCTCCTATTGTGTCGTCCCCCTCCACGCCCCCAGCACAGTGTGAACTGGGGAGATTCCAAGCAAGCATCATTTCTGTTTTCCAATGAACAGGTCTTGCTGTGTGTAAACCTTCCCTGGTCACGTTCCTGGAGCAGAGCAAGGAGCCTTTGAATGTAAAGAGACAAGAGTCAGGAACCATATGTCCAGGTAGGTAGGCGTGAAAGAATTTGAGGATGCAGGTGAGTGGTCCAAAGATCCAGAAGAAGAGATGCTTGGAGATAGAGACTGGAAAGCCTGAGTCGGTGGAGATGATTTCTCGAGGGACTACACTTGTTTCTTTTACTAACAGAGAAAACCAGCTGCCCTGTGTTCATCACACTGCTCAGTCTTCTGCATCTCCTTCTCTAGGGACCTCCCAGCCCATCGCCAGTGACAGCAGAGTCCTTCTTTTGAAGGTCTGCATAATCCCCCCTCCCGATTTTTCTTTTCTTTCTTTGTGGGCCTCAGAAAATTATGCACATGTCTGAAGACCTCTGTGTTAAGCCATACAAATGAAATATTAACACCAAAAAGAAGTTTTTCAGGACCGGAGAGATGGCTCAGAAAGAAGTTAACAGCACTTGCTGTCCTTCCGAATGACCTGAGTTTGATTTCCAGCACCCTCGTCAGGCAGCTCAGAACCACCCACCAAAGGGTGGTTCTCCGTCTTCTGGCCCCTATGAACGTACTCACACACGTGGCGTACCTTCACCCAGACATGCACATAATGTGAATTAAAAAGTCTGCTTAATGTTGTTCATGTAGCTTTTCATTGCGGTGCTGTACAGAGCTTTTTATGTGAGATTTTAGTGCTTTTTTAAAAAACTGTCAATGTCAGTCATTTAACATGCACATTCTTCATGGGTATATTGCCAAAATTGAAAATCGTGCTTATCTGGGAGGCATTTTTCATGGTACATTGTTGCTTGTTAAGAATTTTATGAAGTAGTTCTTTTTCTTGTTTTTCAATCCCATGGTCTGTGTTCTATTTTATTTTAGAGTAGGTTCTTTCACACCAGCTGATAATAATTTTAGTTTTTAACCTGTATTTTGCTGTTGGCTAGCAGTTTCTAATACTGTGTACATCGGGATAACATAAGTTAATAATAAGTGAAATTTAAAAGTCTATTATTACTACAGTTTCAGTAAGGTTGTATATACCTGTGTGTGTGAGAGAGAGAGAGGAGAGAGAGAAGAGATGGTTCAGTGGGCAAGAGCACTTGCTGCCCAAGTCTGAGCACTGGGCTCTTGATCTCAGCTGCCATATAGATGGGCATCTTCCTATATGCCTCAGTAATTGCAACATTAGGAGCGGTAGAGATGGGAGAGTCTCTGAGGCTTGCTGGATGCTGGATGACAGCTTAGATACAAACCATAAGCTCGTTTGGGAGAGACTCTGTCTCAAAACAAAAAGGCAGAGAGTGCTAGGGAAGGACTCCCATGCCTTTCTCTGGCCTTTCGGCACACGCATCCATCACACACACACACACACACACACACACACACACACACACACTGAGACATTTCTAACTGGCTGATTTTATTCTTTTGAAAGAGTCATTATTCTGTCATTAGTAAATGAGTTTTCCTTATGCCAAAAGTACAAATTTAATAAATACAGGAAGTTACCCCCCCTTTAAAAGTGGGGTTTCACTCTGTAGACTAGGCTGCTCTGGAATTTTCTATGTACTTTAAGCTAACCTTGAACTCATGACAATCCTCTTGCCTCAGATTTTCAAGTGCCAGTATTATTGGTGTGAGCCACACACTCAGTTCAACACTCCATTTTCCCTAACCCAAATGCTGATAAGGACATTGTGAAAACACAGTGCATGTCCAATGACAATAGGCCAGTCATCAAGGAGGGTCCTATCCTGGGTAATTATAAAGGTGTTCATATTGGAGAGAAAAACTTGTTAGTACAAGAATTCTACAGCTGGAATCATGGTTCAAATCCTAGTAAAGACCACTGTACTCTTTTCCCAGAGGACCTCTGCAGATATAACCAGTCTGGGGAAGACTTTGCTCAGCACTCAGAACTCGCTACCCATCCACGCCCGCCTGTTCAAGAGAAGTCTCAGAATCGCAAAGAAGGTGGCAAAGCTTTTACTTATAACGCAACTTCTATTAGAAAACGGAGGGCTCCAAAAAGAGAGAAGCCTTACCAATGTGAAGAATGTGGCAAAACCTTTAATAATAGTTCAAACCTCACCCGACACCAGATAATCCACACAGGAGAGAAACCCTACCCTTGCCAAGAGTGTGGCAAAGCCTTCAATAATGTTTCAACCCTGACACGGCACCAGATGATCCACGCTGCCGAGAAACCCTACAAGTGTACAGTGTGTGACAAGGCTTTTCACTTCTCCTCGTACCTTAACCAACACCAGAGGATCCACTCGGGAGAAAAACCCTATAAATGTCAAGAATGTGGCAAAGGGTTTTATTATCACTCGACCCTGACTCGACACCAGATAATCCATACAGGTGAGAAACCCTATGAATGCCAAGAGTGTGACAAAGCCTTCAACAATAGGTCAACCCTGACACGGCATCAGGCGATTCACGCGGGAGGGAAGCCTTACACGTGTAACGTGTGCAAGAAAGCCTTTCACAGCGCTGCCCACTTTCACCGACACCAGAAAATCCACTCGGGGGTGGCGGCATATCGATGTGAAGAGTGTGGCAAATCCTTTAGCTATTCTTCACGCCTTCATCGGCATCTGAGAATCCACGCGCGCGAGAAGCTCTATGTGTGTAAAGAGTGTGGCGAGGCCTTTAGCCGCCCTTCGCATCTTAACCAACACCAGAATATTCATTTTGCAGAGAAACCGTACCGGTGTAAGAAATGTGGCAGGGCCTTCGCCTGTTCTTCACAGCTATATAGGCACCGGGCAAGCCACAGCGCTGAGAAGCCCTACACCTGCCAGGAATGTGGCAAAGGCTATCACCGTCCCTCGTCTTTTGATCTGCACCAGAGACTGCATACCGGAGCTAGCCTCTACAGATGTGCAGAGTGTGGCAAGGTCTGTCGCTGCGCTTCACACCTTACCCAGCACCAGAGGGTTCACACCGGGGAGAAACCCTACAGCTGCCAAGAATGCGGCAAAGCTTTTAACTGTTCCTCACACCTTCACCGGCACCAGGTAACTCACACGAGAGAGAAACCCTTCCAGTGTAGAGAGTGCGACAAGGCTTTTAAGGACAGCGCGACACTTTGTCGACACGAGAGGATTCATACCGGAGAAAAACCCTATCAATGCAAAGAATGCGGGAAAGCCTTTAATAACTGTTCGAATTTCATGCGCCATCAAAGGACTCATAAGTGAGGGAAGCAAGACAGAGTAAAGAATGTGATAAAGGAAACAGGAGAGATGGCTCAGAGCCTGCACTGCTTTTGTGGAGACTGAGTCTGGTAGCCAGCACCCCTATTGGGTGGCTTAGAACTCCTGGGATCCAAGCCCAGCTTTGGCCTTCAAGGGCTCCTGCACTCACATGCACGTGCTCCACACAGGCAAACACACATCTACATGTAATTTAAGAAAGAGTGCAGTAAAAAAAATGTTTAAGTAATCAAACACCAATTTCTAGTGGAATGAAACTTATAGACCGTACTGACCAAATTCCATCATTTTATGTAAAAAAAAATTCTTACTAGATAGAGCCTTCATACATGAATTATTGATTTATTTTCATTTGTTTGGATGCTTTGCCTGCATGCCCACCACATGCACGCAGTGTCTTTGGAGAGCAGAGGGCACTGGATCTTGGAGTTACCGACAGCTGTGAGCTGCCGTGTGGGGACTGGGAGCTGAACCCAGGTCCTCTGCAAGAGCAGCTACGAACTGCCGAGCCATCTGTGCAGTTCCAGAAAAATCTATACACGCAATGACTCAGAAAAGACCACTGTCCAGTATTCGATACCTCACAAGGGCCAGCTATTCATTTTGGAATAGCGAGCTTTCACCCATGTTTCAGCTTTTAATTTACTTACAGGAATTAGTGTAAGATAGAAATCCTACAAATAACGTGAACTTTGGCAGAAAGTTGCTGACATCTTTCTTGTGCTTGAAAGAAGCAGCTCACAGATACCAGAGCCATCAGGCAACTCGTCTGTGCGTGAAAGTAACTGCTACCATTTCCATTTAGTGAATAGCCCCAAACTGCTCAGAACTGCACAAGGCCCAGCTCTCAGGTCCTTCCAACAGACACGCCAAGCCGCTTCCTAGGAATTATTGATGTATTCTCTGTAGATCATATAGTGGGCTTTGGAATGTTGTATACACTGTATCGTGAAATTCGTTTTGGTAAAAAGATAAAGAACATTAATGTTTTATCATTGGCATATATTGAATGACTTCTCTTTCTGTCACAGACATTGAACCACTGTGCTCAAGAATACAGGCGGCAGATCCCACTTCACAGGGCATTAAGAAATCTATTGAATATTTTGAAGTATATTGAATGACTCATAGACCAAATGGAACTCCCAGTTCCATCATGTATTAAAGAATTTGGAGGAGACCGTTCTTCTATGAATAACTTTTATTCATTCCTTTTAATAATTATCCAGAAATTATGAGGGTTGTAGGAGTATAATAATGTATCAGAATATTCTGAATCTTGAATTGTAAGTTATAAGATTTTATCAGACCCACTCCATTTCCCCTTTTTTGGACCCAAAGCACACATAAACATTTGCTATTCATTTTTACAGATTCAGGTGTCCAACTCTTATGATCTAATGGTAAATTTTAGGAGAATGGTAGATGGGTCTGTTTGAATAATGATTGGGAAGAGAATTATAGAATTCTATGTAGAATATTTGTGAATTTTAAAGGAGTTGATAAATTATAGCTACCTAGAATCCTCACATATTCTGAGGGGAGATTTTCACTTTGTTTTCACTGAATATATTTCTTCAAAATGTCATAGTTCTTGGTTTAGAATTTCCTGGTATTAATTCATCTTGATTTACCTGTTACTCATGGAAGACATAATGTATGATTTGCCTCATGAAATTTATGATTCTGCTCATATAACCCTTACCATATTTTAAGAAGGCGTAATTAAATTTTATATTAGAAACGAATTCTAAGATGCTCTCCCATAGTGTGAACATACATAGAGATGTTGTGGCAGAGTGTTTTGTCTAGGCAAAGATGTGTTATGTTTGTTTATGCTGTGGAATATTAATTCAGCTGTGTGAAGGTGTGCTGCTTTTGTCTATGCTCTATTTCTGTAATCATGTAAAGATGTGTGGCTGTTGCACCTTGCCTATGTAAGGCACCTGATTGGTCTAACACAAAGCTGAATGGACAAGAGAGAATAAATAGGAGGAGAAATCTAGACTTGGGAGAAGAAGAAGAGAGGAGAGAATGAGGAGTAAAGAGAGGGAAATGCCCAGGGCCAGCTAGGCAGCTACCAGACAGACAGACTAGGACATACAGAAAGAAAGGTAGAAAGCCCCAATGTAAATGTAGATGAAGAGAAACAGGTTAATTTAAGTTTAAGAAAAAAGGCTAACCAGCAATGAGCATAGGCTAGGCTGAGTGTTCATAGCTAATAAGTCTCTGTGTCATGATTTGGGGGCTGGTTGGTAGCTTAAAAGAAAGCTTGATATATAGAGATATTTTAAATTAGTATATTATATTCCTTTTCCCCTTTTGTTCTTTTTCTATTTATTTATTTATTTATTTATTATTTATTTATTTATTCATTCATTCATTTATTTTGGAGGCAGGGTCTTACTATGTAGTTCTTGCTGACCGGGAACTTGGTCTGTAGTCCGAGCTGGCCCCAAGCTCACAGACACCCGCCTACCTCTGCCTTCCTGGTGCTGGGGTTGATGGCAGGCATTCCCACAGCAAGTGTCATTTTCTCCTACACAGTAAGATAAATAATTCTTCCTTTCAGTTGTATAGGTGACATGAAATTCAGCAAATTCGCCGGTCCAGTTTCCTCAGACGACAGCAAATGAGACATAGTACATACAGGGTTCTGACGTTTGTGGGACGCAATCAAGCACACAGAGCAGGTAGAACGCAATAGATGCTCCACCAGCAGGATACAGCAGTCTCTACCAGAAGGAGTTTGCTGCCGGGTGTAATGCTTTAATACCTGAATCCTAGATTTGGGAAGCTGAGGCGGGACAGTCATTGCAAGGCCAGCTTGGGCAGGGTCAAGTATGCCCTGCACTGTAGAGTAAGACTGCCTTGGAAACAAAACAGGCTGTATGTTCACTTTCATGGAACTGCTAAAAGTGAAGGTATGTTCAAGTGGAGTGAGCGGGCCTGGGGAAGGCTTCAGTGTGGACACGCCAAAGGTTTTATTGAGGGGGGGAGAGGGCTGGAGAGATGGCACAGAAGTTAAGAGCATGAACGCTTTTCCAGAGGACCCAGGTTCAATTCTCAGCACCCACATGGCAGCTCACAACTGTCTGTGACTTCAGTTCTTGGGGGATCTAGTACCCTCATACAGACATAAATGAAGGCAAAAACCAATGATTGTAAAAAAAATAAATCTTTTTTTATAAAAAAAAGTTTTTGGGGAGTTATTTTGTTCACCTTCTTGTCTCCTAGACGCTTAGTTTCATCTCGAGCGACATCTGCACAGTGTAATTCTCTGTCATGGTTTGTGTAATGGCTTCACTTTTCCTTTAGTCTTCTGTTTCCATATAGTATAGGAGCTTTCAGTCCTGATATATGGTTATGAATTTTTATGGTACAGTTGTATTTCGGGGTTCTGGGTGTTCTGCGTTTAAGATATTTGTAATAGACCCATAATAATAGTTATATATGAAATATGGTTTGAATTTTTAAAGTATGTATAAACCTTGTAATCAAATGTATAATTACCATACTTTTTACCTAAACCTTTCTGTAAATGGAGACTGCTTGTTCATTTCCCAGCAACCCAGACACAAAAACTATATTTATTATAACACTGCTTGGCCAATGATTCAGGCATATTTCTAGCTAGCTCTTACATCTTGAATTAACCCATTTCTATTATTTTTTTTAATTTTAACATGAGGCTGGGGGTTTGTTACCTCTTGCTTCTTGGGCAGCTCCATGGCATTTCCCTGACTCTACCTTCTTTCTCTCCACATCTCTTCCAGCCTGGCTATATTCTGCCCTGCAATAGGCTAAAGCAGCGATATTCATTAACCAAGAAAAGCAACAAATATATACACACACACACATATATATATATATATGATATACCATATTGCCTTTCTCATCCTAAGACTAATCAGAATTTCTTTTAGTTGCTTTGTGAAAGTAGCACATTAGCCTGCGACATGTTAGCATTTAAGACAGAGGTTCTCAGCCCATGGGTTGTGACCCTTTTGGGGGACTGCATGTCAGATATTTGCATTATGATTCATAACAGTAATAAAATAGCATTTATAGTTGGGGGTCACCACAATATGAGGAACTGTATTAAAGGATTGCAGCATTAGGAATGCTGAGAACCACTTATGTAAAAGAACAGGAAAAAGTACTTTTCCTATCTAAGTATAACTTTCAAGCACTCCAACATCCCTTCTCTTCCACTTTTTACTGAGGACACAGCTGTTCTACTTTCTATTTCTTGAAGAATAATTCTTTTAAATGAGATGGGTAAGTTGACACATATATTTAACCCAATACCCTGGAGGCAAAGACGGGAAGATCTCTATGAGATGGAGGATGGTGCGGTTCACATAACATTCCAAGCCAGGAAGGGTTTCTCTCTGTCGTGTGTGTGTGTATAAATACAGAGTTTATTATTTTATAACATATGGTGCTTTCTCTATGTGTTATTCTTTGAGGTCATTCATGTTGCAAATCAAGGAATTTAAGTTTTAGTGAATAGTATTTGATTTTGTTCATCTAGTGTTTGTCCTAGATGGAGACTGCTTGTTCTTTTTCCTGGATGCCCAGACCCAAAATAACCACACAAAAACTATTAATTAAAACACGGCTTGTCCAATAACTTAAGTGTATTGCTAGCTAGCTCTTATATCTTAAATTAACCCATTACTATTAATCTGTGTTTCGCCATGTGGCTGTGGCCTACCTGTAAGGTCCCATCTGCTATCCAGCGTCTCTCTCCTGTGGCAGCTACATGGCTTCTACCTGACTCCGCCTTCTTTCCTCCTCTATCTGCTTGGAATTCCTGCCTTGATCTAGTTTGCTAAGCCACTGGCCAAAATAGCTTTATTCATTAACCAATAAAAGAAACACATATACAGAAGGACTTCCCACACCACTTTATGGTTCATTGTTGATGGATACTTTGTTTCCATATCTTAGCTACTGCAAATAGCACTGCAGTGATTGTA